GCTCAGTATTACGTCTTATGAAGAATTAAAAGTACCATCCATACAAAGTCAGACTAGTGCAGGAACTTAACGAAGATGATCCGGACCGTAGACTACAATTTTGTGAAACTATGGCGAGTTTATGCGCGTCCTGTCCGTACTTTTTTGGACATATGTTTTTCTGAGAGGTGAAATTGGCAGACGAGGACCGAAAGAGTGGCCAGCGAGTTCTCCAGATCTCACCCCTCTCGATTATTTCTTATAGGGCTAGCTTAAATCAAAGATCTACATTAACAGACCACAAAATTAAAAAAAAATTAAAATTCCATTATTTTTACATTAAAAAACACTGTTAAAATACGTTTAATTGTCAAACCAAAGGTGTCATTTACCTCTACCGAAGTGGCAATCGAATTTCCTCGAGGCGCATAGCAAATTTAAAACCAACAATTTCAATCGAGTTAAAACGGTAAAAGCGTCCCCCTAATTTCAGGAGAGAGTTGCTCGTTATTATTCTCGAATACCCGTATATATAAGTTTTATTCCGGGGATGTTTACAATGACGAAGGGTCTCCCCGGTAAAGGCAGGTACAAGCGGGGCGTCGGATTTGATTAGATTTACATAAATTTTAAAGGAGCCGATCCTGATGAACAGCGTTGCCAATAGTGTAATTTTGCTGCTGTTCAACATGGGAAAAGATTAATATTTTTGTTACTTAATTTTAAAAGACTCGTCAAGCAAATTTTAGTCTAGACATCGGTCTATAGACCGAGTGTCTGGTGACTGTGTGTATGGATAGCATTAGGGAAGTGTTGATTCAAACCGATTAATAAAGAAAAAATTAATTAAATCTTTGTAAATGTAAAAAATCCACTACCAAAGGTTATACGAGCTGTGATCAGAAAATTACGGGAATTGTTAAATTTCGCGGGTTCGGAGGGTCCGGTTGTCATAAAATTTTCTTTATTATGTTGGTATACATGCCCCCGAAGTATGTTAAAAACTTTAGCTGTTTTCATTGTTTACTTTGTATGTGGCAGCCGCTAAGGTTAGACGTGTTTTTTGAGCTCGGCGATTTTTCGTTCGTTAAAAGAAATGGATCAAAGAATTTGTATCCAATTTTGCTTAAAAAATGAAATAAATTCTGTGAAATGTTAACAAAGGCCCATAGTGAGTCTGCTATAAGTAAAACAAGAGTTTCCAAGATGGCCATGAAGACGTTAAAGATGACGAACGTCCCGAACACACAAGCACATTAACAACCGATAAAAACATGGAAAAAGTGGAAGAAATGGTTATAAACCATCAGAGAAGTCGCTGATGATGTTGGTATATCGATTGGCTCATCCCATGAAATTTTTTCGAATGTTTTGGGTATGAAACGCGTGGCAGCAAAATTTGTTCTAAAACTGTTAAATTTTGAACAAAATTTTTGGCCAAAAACAATACTGTAATGATGCCCCAGCCTCCATATTCCCCAGACATGCCTCTGTCTGACTTTTTCCTATTCCCAAAAATAAAGAGAACCTTAAAGGGTCGTCGTTTTGCATATAGAGGACATTAAAAGCGCATCGCTGAAAGAACTAAAGGCTATCCCAAAGATCAAGTTTTAGAAGTGTTGGAAGAAGAGCTGGCACATGTGCATATTTTGAAGGCGACAACATTAATGTAGACGAATAAATAAAAGTTCCCGATATTTTCTGAACACACCTCGTATATAACAAATACATAAATGTGATTTGAATATAGTAGTATAGTAGTATAGTATTCTTAAATCCAATACATTTACATCTAAATCAACTCCCAAAGTTAAAATTGAACAGGCTATTTGTTGAATACTTTTAACATTATTGGAGCATTACTTTGATAGATACCTTTTCCAGTAAAAAACTTAAAAAGAGAAATACTTCCCTGGCTTGTGCACTTTAAGAAAAGGTCTCTGGGGTTTCCAATCCATTATTCATTGATTTTTATTCTGCTAACTCAAAAAATTTGTTTTCCATTCAAATCATCCTCCAAATTCTCCATTTAGTTTTCAATGTGTAAACTGATAAGGGAAAGTTCAGAGCTCGGTAAATCAGGAATCACTTAATTAGGAGTATAATCGATTTATCCTGCTGAAATAAAACGGCCAGCAGGACGATCCGGTCAGCAAATAAAGCTGCAAACATCGAGAAAACTTTCTAGTAATTGCGATAAAATGTATGTCTTAGTTAAACAGGTTTGGATGAAAGTTTTGTAATTTATACTGTCTTGGGATGGAATTGGTCGCCCTATAAAAAAATAAGTTCATTGATGCACTGTTGTTTAGATAATCGTAAATTTTCACGAGTACACAGTAAAAAATTTTGCCTGTGTAATTTTTTTAGTGTAGGGGTAAAAATATTAGAGTTGATTTGTAAGTGTAAAAGTTACACTACAAAATGCACTAGGTAGCATTTAGTGCTTATTAACTTTATTAAACACATTTAAAGAATATGAACATTATTCATTGATACATTCACACTATTTATTATTAAAATAAATCAAAAGGGTAGAAAAACTTAATGCGAGTGTTTATTACCCCTTAATGTGTTAAATAGGTACAAAATGTACACTACAGTGCATGCCAATTTCTTTGTCTGTTTTGGTGTTACTAAGAGCTCTTTTTTCTTTACACTATTAGTGCACATTGTATCACAATTAAAGTTAAATTACACCAATAGTGGCAAAATAAACTGAAAAAACTGGTAATAACCGAAATGCGTTTTTAAATGTTTGGTTGGTACCTACCTACCTACGCAGTGCATATACGGAGATACCGCGTTGTGGAAGTGTGGCATTTTTTTTCAGTTAGATTTTAATTACGGTGAATCCATAAAGGGACATTCTTATTTTTTGGTAAGTATTATACTTCCTTTTTCTTTAAGCTTTAATACTCAATAAAAGGATGTCCATTCCCGACCTATATTATATATCAATAATTTACGGCAGTAGGTCGGGTACTTGTAACATTAATAATATAAATACATGCACACTTGCTTTACTTTTTATTTTTAAGCGTAATGGTTGTTATATTAACCTATACCTACATTTTTATTAATATTATGGAAAATTTGTACACGTGTGGAAAATCCCCGACATACAGCCGCCTGACGCCTCTATACCAATGGGATCACCCATTTTTTATAACAGAAAAATGGATTACTGATGAATTCTCAAGATAATTCATTGCTTACAAGTTGACAGCCAGAAAAAAATTGCATTGATCTAAAACTTTTACGTTTTAAGGAACCATTTTACTTAAGCCAGCCATACGACTATAAAATAATATTTTAAAAGGCACCGATTTTGATAATTGTCATAGATTTTTGTTCCAAATAAATGTTTTTCTTTATTTACCTTTTCGTTTTATTTACTACCACCAATAGGTTTTACTCAAATAATAGTGTTACACTAAAAGTTTGCACTAAAAGATTAAAAGTACCTTTCTAAAATTGGAACTTTTCCAAAGTAGTGTTAATTTACACTGAACAAAAGTGGGATTTTACCCACGAAGTGTAGAAGTACACGATTTTAGGTAAATTAACACTTTTTAATACAGTGTAAAGTTACTTTATCCTCAGTGCTATAGTGTTAAATCGTTCTTGCTTACTTGGGGAAAATTACACTACAAATTAACTCTAATTAGTGTTGCTTAGAGTTGATTTTTTTTACTGTGTAGTTTCCATTTATGGCGATTCAAATTCTGGATTTGACTTTTGACGAATAAGGACTAAAAGCTCTATATAAAAGATGCAGAACCGGTTGGACAGCCAGGCGCTAAATAAATTAATATGGCGAAAATTAACTTTCGAAACCGGTCGAGTGTCAGCTCTGAATTCCACCTGGAAATTCTATTTATTATTTAAACTGATTCGTCTGGCTTCACCCCGTCGCTTTCGAAAATTAACCCTAGATTATTTCATGAATGTGGCAATGAAATATTAAATTTGAAATTTCCATTTCAAAATATTATTTTATACCTACACTGTTTAAAATATCTGTGGTGTAAAGAGTAATCTTAAAATGGTGTCAAAATCCAACACCAAGTGGTGTTAATATAACACCATGAATTATGGTTGAAAATGTTGTTTACAGCAAACACCAAAACGGTGTTTATATAAAAATATTTGAGAAGTGCACCTACACAGAAAAAAGTATTTTTTTTATTTTTATCAACTGTGGGAAGGTTAATATAAACAAAGATTAGTCTGACGGTACTAAACCAGATAGTTATTTTTCTTTTAAATTGGTTAAATTAACCCAAAAAACTTTAGTGAAACCAATCCGCTGTATGGTTCACTTTACTAAATATGTTGTTTGTAAAATAAAAGTTACTTTAACCTAAACCACTCTGTTAAAACGATTAAAACAATTTGCATTCCCGGTTGCATAGTGTGTACCGATCGCGGCAAAGGCGGTGTGGATCACGTGATGTTCTTAAATCTCGCCTCTGTTGACTTACATGAAGAATAAATAAGCTCAGGTAGTCCTTTGCTTTGGTGTGACACTACAAGTTGTTCGATACTAAAGAGACCTTAAATAGGTGGAAACAGCTGTCAATACTTGAAGTATTTTAAGTTAGTGGAACGCACTAAAACATTATCTCTAGCGAGTTGAAGGTTCCATTTTTTGGAATAATACCACTGGTAATATACTAGTAATGCGTCAAGGAACTTCCTGTTTCCTTTTTTTTCCTTTTTTCTGTATAGTATACTAATTAAATCAAATTAAATCATATATGATTTAATTTGACCACAAACACATAATATTTAACACTGAAAAGGAGTTCAATTTACACCAGGTAAAATTTATTTTAATACTGTGTGAAAGTTAATTATTTCATATATAACTCCATTTTGGTTTGTATCGATATAGACCATGTATGGTGTTAATTTGGTGTTAAAATGGTCATGAAATTTTGAACAGTGTATATGTAAGCTAAAATAGTAGTATTGAACCGACGATATCCGGAGCTAACTTTTTTATTTATTTTTAGTGTGAGGACTGATAAAAACGGCGGAGCTTGGTGTCCTCAAAAGCAAGCCACCACTGAACCGGAAGAATGGATCCAAGTCGACTTGAAAACGGTCCACATGATCACCGCCACAGAAACCCAGGGGAGATTCGGAAACGGACAAGGTATCGAGTATGCTGAAGCCTATTTGATAGAATACTGGAGACCACGTCTGGCCACTTGGATACGTTACCACAACAGCACTGGTGAAGAGGTAAGAAAAAATTATTTTGATGATTTTGGGTGAATATTTTAAAACTGTCGATTTTCGGAACCATTTTCGTTAACACATAAAAAAATTGCAAATCTTATTAATTTTGCACTTTTAGGACTTTTCCACTCATGAACATAGACATAAAGACTAAAAACGAAATTTTTTTTTGTCCTTTTTGAAAGTTGAACCCACGGTTTTACTTGGTCATCTCTTATTCTTCTGCGTCTCTCACGTTCTGCTTGTCTTTTAGCTTCGTTGGTCAACTTGTTTCGTGGTTTTGTCATTTTAATTAATGTCCCACTGAAATGAAATATTTTAAATTGGTTACATGTAAGGGACACGACAATGACGAGCACGGTAGTGATGATTTTAAGGTTAGAGTGTTTTACGATGTTTATTCGAAAATATAATGGAATTTTCAAGTTACCATTTGCTTTTTGTTAATGCAAGACTCCTTTGTATTAATGCAAATATTTTGTATGTCCATAAACTTTAAAATAATACTTACCCCGACAATGACGGACTTAGACGTAACAAGCCGTTTTCTTTTTCATTCGGCTTACGTCACAACTTTATGGTTTGACATATGCTAGTGGACGTTAGACAGGCAGGATATTTCCATATCAGACGTTCGAAAACTTCCGGCATTTTCCGAATGTATCGCTTATTTAAATATGAAATTAGACACATTTTAAGTAGCCGCTCATGGGTGTAAACAAAGTTTAAACGACATTAAAAGAAAAGTTAACATTTTAAAATGCCATTTCTTGCTTGCATTGTATTATTTTGTATTTTCTTCGTCTGTGTTAGACAGGATATTGCAAGATTTAATTTGTAAATAAATATAAGAAAATAATATGTTGTTGTTCTCCGAATGTGAACAAGGCACGGTAATGACGTTTGCGACACAAAAATTAAAATATATTTTTTACTATGCTCGTTTAGACTAAAATAAGTAAGGAATCAAGTAAACATAATTAATTAAACTAGACATCAAGTATTTTATTTTCAGTGGGATATTAACTTTTGAAATAACAAGCCAGAACCGATTGAAATATTAACCCATATCTCCGAAACTATCAGCCGAAAAGGTGCATATTGCTAAAATCACAATTTTATAATATATTCAAAAACCTAAAAAGGGGAAGACAATTTAAAAAAATTGGCTTCTTTCAACGAATAAAAAAACTAAATTTTCATAAAAATTTAGTCACCCATTGTCTTCATCAGTACGGACGAATGTTATACGAATTATTATCATTCATATTTCAAAATGTCACCTTAAAATTTATCTCTAACGACTCTTAACGTTTATCTTGCAATAATTTAGCGCTAAATGCGGATCAAAGTGGGGTAAATTGGAGCCTCCTTCAATTTAACCGAAAACCCGGTATCCGGTCTTTTGAAAGGTTTTCGAACTCTCTCTCATTTAACTAATAATAACACCACCAGTAGCACACATGTTTCTAAAATAAATACCGCGCGCTTTCAAACATATGATCCCGCTATTCATAATTGCTTTACTTCGGCGATAAATTTCCCTCAAATTAGATGTTTAATTGAGGCCTAGATGCCGGTAATGCGGAGTGACGTCGACTGATGTTTGTCTTTAATTTACATAAATGTTAAACGGAACCACCGAAAATTAACAACTTTTAACATGGTTAGTTTTAAATGATTTTATTCATTAATTTGTTCCTTGAATTTTATGGTATAGACATATAAATGCTTCCAAGAAAGGAACTATACCATTATCCTTAAATTGGCCATTAATTTTACCAGACTTAAACTGACTATTATGAGAATGTTTCAACTCTTTACTAATTTTATTTATTCATTATTTTTATTTAAATTTTACAAAAGTGAAAGTGTAAGATGACAATTTTCCTTATTTTGTAAATTTTTCAATAATAAGAAATAAGTTAAAATGTATGGGTATACTAAAACAAACCATTGCTAATACTAATAATACTAACATTAATAGTATATTATGTATCAAGTTTTATAAACGCCGTTATAGTCACAAATTTTTATTAGGCACGAGCGAGCTTGCGAGCGAGTGTTTAATTAAATGATAAACGAGTTGCATAACATACTTTTTTTACGACAAACACCTATTATTACATAAAAATTATTTAAATTAAAAATTTTTATAGAGCGACATCTATAAAACAATGGAGTAACCATAATTGGGAATCTTTATTATCGGCGCGTTGGTGAAAATATCAAATTTTTATGAGTAAATCGAAATGTTTCCATTGAAAATGGACTAACAACAGTTTTTCACAGTGAAAGTGAAGAAAATGTTTTATCGCACTCCACTAACCCGAAGTTAAGTTAAATCTAGTTAAATGCTGGCGAAATCAACGTGCATTTAAATATTGGCGTTTAAAAACTATTTAACACTTTTGTATTTTTGCATTGAGATAATAAAATAATTTTCACATTTAGTATTTTTTTACAAGAAGGGCACTTTATTTTAAAGATTGTATGGCATTTGACAACTGTCAACTAACTTAAAACTAACTTCAACCCGTGACAAAAAACAACTTGTCAAAAGGTCACTCAGTCTCATGGAGACATGTACAGAATGTTTCCACTAGGAACCTAAAATTAAAAATGATTTTTTTTTTAATTTTTAGTATTTATTCAGCATTGCGTTTTCTAATGAGCCAAACTATAAGGAAACCGCATCCAAAGAATATGGAAAAAATTAATACTGCATACATTATTGATAAGTAAACCACTGTACTAGTGAATACATATTTAGCACAATATTTCCTTCCATCTTCTTCATGATAACTTGGTTCGAATATTTGCCAGACAATAACTGATCCTATAAAATCAAGAAATTTACTAATACATAGTGCGAGAAATTACCATAAAAACTATGCGAGAAACCACCACTGGATTTAAGCATCAATACCTTATCTTTTTTACATTAAAAATTTTGATGACATTTTTTTAACAATTTTTTGGGATTCCTGGGTCTGGGCAACCATAATAAGAAAAAATGTAAAGGGGGTAAAATTGATATTTCTAATTTCCCCCATTTGCCTTTTTAAAAATTTAATCTGATGAAGTATCAAAATAAGTAAAATTGTTAGGTTTGCTATCTCACCGAAGATAAAAATAACAAAATTAGCCAAGTACAGTAGTGAGGTTAGAGAGGTTAAAACCACCATCCATTTGCTATATTTCTGAATAAATATTTTAACAATCTCTAGTACAATTGTTGTAATTGCGGCAACTCCTAAAATTAAAAAAACAAAATTGTCTAAATGTATTTAAATGTATATTTACCAGAGCCTATTAAAAAAATAGGGATTAACGGATTTGCAGGACACTTATGGATTCCTACACTACCATTGGCAGTAAGAAATAAGAAAAAAAGTAAAAGTATCATGAAGGAAATCATTGATAATGCTTAAAAAATGAAATAAATTATTCCATATAAATTTTTAACCGGTTAATATGGCTTACCAAATAGTCTTGTCCCTACTTTAAGCATTTTTTTATTTATATTGTAGTAACAAATGTTATTTCGCATAATATTTTGACATATTTTTTATAGGTTAGATTTAAGTGTAGTTAAGTAAAGTCAGTGTGTTCAAATTATTTAATTTAATTTTTTATACATATTAAACGTTTATTAGATTCAATATGTTTTTAATAATAAAATGCTGCAAATAATTATAGTGTAAGTTTAGCCTTATGCGCTGAGTAAAAATGGCGGCCTACCAAGAAGACTTGATAAAGGGAAAACAACATTTTTGTTCTCTCTCGTGGCAACATATTCAAGGCAACCCCAATCCACTAGTTTTACCTTCTTTCTAAGTCTTCTTGAATTAAACTCAGAAAGCATACAAAATATGATTAAAAAACAATAAATACTTTAATGTTGACCGCTCGTAATTAGTTATTTATTGGGTGCGGTTTTGCACACACATATTTCAATGTTATAATTAAGTTCAAAGAAAAAAATTGCCGACTTAAATAATAAAAAAACAAGACGTGGCATTTCAGTGTGGGCGATGCAAGAATATTTAAGTGACATTTCAAAGAAACTTCCTCATTATTGGATACGCGTTAGTCATGCCCATTAACGTTAAATTAAGTTAAATCCAGCACAAACTAATATAAAAAAAATATGAAAATAAATAATATTTAGGATAGGTCAGTTTTCAATTTATTAGGTGACACACTGTATTCAATTGTAAAAAATGCACATCAGTTTTTAACAACAGGTAACCTTGATGAAGAATACTAGGCAACCATTAATTTATACATGTATACATCTAAAAAAAACACTAACGGTTAAAAGGCATATGTTCGTTCAGCCAGCCCCCTTATTAACTTTGTATATCAGATTGCGTGCGAAATTCCAGAAAACAACATTTACATAGAAAAATATCGTGCGGTCTTACTTAACATTTGCGCCGTATTTATTTCGATTTAAATCAAAGATATGTTATGTGAAAGCCTCTTGTTCCATTTAAAAAATGTTTTTCACGCACATATGGAAATCTAGAAATTGTAATTTATATTTGTGGCATAAATTATGAAAGAGAACATACAAAATAAATGCTATATATTTTTTTAAATTACATGCAGGTAGTATTTGAGGTTATACCAGTTGTATTAAAAAATGTTTACAACACTCGCCTTTGGCTCGTAAGTAAGTACTCGCTATTATTTAAAAGGCTGAAAAACTGTATTTTCGAGCTTTTTGTGGTTTACACAGAAAACAAAAAGGTGTGGCGACTGTAGTAAGGTAAACAAGATTCTATTAATGGGAAAGGAAAAATCAATAGGCAGCCGAGTCGCGTGACGAGCTCAATAATAAATTAACTAAAAACGGTTGGGTTTTCCATATTCATCGGGGTAGCAAGAAAATGCACACAAAAACAAAAATGTTAAAAAACAAATTTTGTGGCTAATTATCCGTCCAGTAAGCCGGATAACTAATAATTAACTTTTCAAACTTCATGCAAAAGGTA